CCGCCCCACACATCCACGGTCAAGAGGGAGGAAGCCATCCCATCCTCCCGCAGCAGCTCGTTACTCACGGGGCCAGGGGTCACCACCCAGCCCGGCCCAACTACCTCCCCAGGTGAGCTGCCATCCGGGAAACCCGAGTGGGTGCCGAGGGGATGCCACGTGCCTGTTGCTGGCCTTGGGGGATGGAGGGCTGAGGCAGCTCACCGAGACGACCCCCAGACCCCTTGGTTCGAGGCCCTGGCAGCCCCAATCCTGCTCATCTGGTTAAAGGGGAGTATTCGGAACGCTTCATTCACACGCGCAGTTGCAACCAGCGAAATAGACCGTGTGCCCGGCAGTAAGTGGCCCTCTCGCCTGCCCACCCCCGGCGCCATCGGACTGGCCTCAGAGGGGCATCTGGGAAGTCCCAGAAGTCCCCTTATGGGGGACGGAACAGTCAGGTGGTGCTGGCCCCACCCGCGGAGCCCCGGCCGCTCTGAGCCTCACAGGGCGCAGGCCTGACCCCGGCTTGGCACCTCCCCACCCCCACCTCTGGAGGCCTGACCAGCGTGGAGCCGGCTGTGCGGGGGACACACTTCTCCCCGGGGTGCCAGATGAAACACAGGCCGTCCCGTCAAATATGAGCTTCAGCGAAACCACAGGTACATTCTTGGAATAAATATGTCCTGGATACTGCGGGACACGTCCTGATACGAACACTGCTGCTTGTCCCAAGCTCAAGTTTAACTGGGGCCTCTCCGCCGACCCCCACGACGCCTCCTTCCTGAGTCCAGCAGCCGGGGGGACCATGGGAGGGGCCTGTGGCTTCGTCTCCTCCAGCCAGCTCTGAGCCGTCTCTCCAGCCGTGGATCCAATGAGCAGAAGTTCCTGTGCCTTTGAGCTGACGAGGCAGCAGGACTAGGGGGGGACCAGGAGGGGACGGGGCCAGAACCCGGAGGCAGCCCCTTCTGGCCCTCGGCGTGGCACCCAGGAAGGCTCCAGCCCGTCTCTGGGAAAGGGTGGCCCCCTCCCCTCGTCCCCCCTCCCGGAGGGTGCCCCTACCCATGAGGCTGGCAGCAGGCAAGGATACGGCCCGGGGACCTCTGTCACTGTCATTCACAAGCTTTTGGGCCAAGTGGCAGCGAGCAGGTCCCACTGGCCCACATGTGGATTCTCCCGGGGCCCCCCCAGCTGACGTCATTTTGGAAATGGGAAGACAGCATGCGGGAGGAAGGAAGGAAGACGGGGCTATTTCCCGAGCCATCCTGTTTCTTCCAACTGGTTTCTCCCCCGGGGTTTCCCCAAGAGGCCTTCCGCCCATCAGGATGGACACGTGCAGGCAGACTCGTGCTTGCGTGGGTGCCTGCGTGTGTGAGCGTGCCTGCGTGTGCGAGCATGTTCACGTTTGGGGGTTTACCGAGGGCGTCAGCACCCAGCGCCCGGCGCAGGAGCTCCGACCCCGGGCCACAAGCAGGAGCACGGCCCCTGCAAAGACCCTTACAGTGGCCATAAGGACCCCAACCCTCCCGGTTGGGCCTCAGTGACACTCTGCACGCAGGACCGAGGGGCTGTCCCCGGAGCTGAAGAGCAGGGCCTGGTGAGGCCGGTCTATCCCCCGCTCTCAGCCTCTGAGCCCCGGGGAAAGGTTAAAGTGGCACCGTCCCCCCCGCCACAAAGCAGGTGCAGCCGAGCTCCAGGAGGACCCACAGCATGCCAGCAGACGGGGCCAAGACTGGGGACCAGCGCTGCGGCTCCCGCTGTCCACACGGGACCTCGCGTGCGTGCAGGAACACGGGCTGTGGGAATCCTAACGTCCCGGGGAGACCCCGTCTAGGCCCTCGGGCTGCTGCAAAGGAGTCTCCCCAGAAACCGACGGTGCCGTTCTGTCCGTGCCGAGCGGCCAGGGCTGTGCTGTCCCCAGTGTGGGTCACACACAGCCTGGGTCATCACAGCCGTGAGCAGCACAGGCAGGATGTGGGCAGAGGCAGGGGCAGTGACGCCCCCCCCCCCCAAGGGAGGACGGCCGGCGGCAGGCCCACAGCAGATTAGAGAGAGCGGAATAAAGCCCAGCACAGTTTCGGGTTAATTTTTATGGACAGAATTCCCAAGACCCCAACCACCTTTGGCCACTTTTTACTTCTAAGGGCGTGTGTCGCCCTCCACACTCTCCAGATAACACAGTCCTGCAGGGACCTGAAGGGACGTGTTTGCAGAGGGCAAGAGCCCCTGGGGCGGGGGGAGCTTTATGCAAAAACAAAACAAAGCAAAAAACAAACAGAGGTTGGGGAGTCATAGACAACGATCCTGCATCCTGACATGCTTGGGCAAAACCATGGTCTAGGGAAGGACTGGCGAGGAATGTCCCTCGAGCGGGGAGCCCCTCTGGCCGGAGCCATGGGGCATCCCTTTTAAGTCAAGTGCTGTGATTCCACGGGGCAACATACGGTTTCGTTTTCATCTGCTCTGGCAAAGTCGGGGACACACGGCCTCGGAGGTCCCAGGGACCACACGATTCTCCTCAAGGTCAGGCTGGCGGCTGATCTGACGGGACAGCGAGCCGTCACCGGGGCCAGCACGAGAGTCGGGCTGTTTTATTACCCGTGGCCCAGCCTGGTCTCCAGGCACCGAGCGTGATGTCACTCACGCTGAGGTAATTCACACCTAAGAGATGTGAGGGGGTCCCTCTGCCCGTCCTACTCGAGCTCAGGCCCGGAGGAGCCAGAGACCCCGGCACCACGGTCCCCCCGCCCGACGGCCAGGTCCTGTGCGCTCTTGGCCCCTGCCGGTCTCCCGTCCCTGCTCCGGCACCGAGGCTCCAGAACGCCCTCCCTCGTGGGCACGCCGACCGGGGGAGCTCCCAGGCCTGGCAGCCGGTCGTAAATATCTCGTCACGTGACAGGACATTTGCCAGTGCTGCAGTCACACCACGGTCCCCCCCGAACCGGGAGATAAGCCCCTCGGAGGGTGATTACATCTCCCCAAAAACAAACCTAAGTCCCTCCCCAGAGGGCCCCTCTCTAAGTGGGTTGTCTGGTGACCTGGCCTGCCGGGTTTAATGCCGAGGGACGTCAGGAAGGGGCTTTGAAACTAGATTAGGTTACATAAATGATACTGTGGCCCGTGAACTGTTTTCCCTTCCTGCTCCCCTTTTCCCAGCAGCCGGCTCGAGGCCCCTCCGGGTCATCTCCAGTGCAGGCTGTTTGTAAGGCCCGGCGTCTCCCGCCGGCCGGGCCTGTGGGTGGGGAGGACGATGAAGTCCCTCCAAGGGCTGTCTGTCCCGGAGGAGCCCCGTGTGGGCCGGCAGGGTGACCCGAGAGTCTCTGGGGACAGGGGCTCCAGGCCCACCTCCAACTCTGCCCCGTCCAGGGTCTGGGACCAGTCTTTCTGGGTAAGCCTCAGTTTTCTCATCTGTAAAATGGGAGCGAGAACCCCACACTCCCCAGATGGCCCTGAGCGTCAAAAGCATTAAAACACATGACATCTCAGGCCCAGGCAGGCACTGGGGAGGGGGGGAGGGGTGTTGATGAGAGTGGCAAGATTAGCTACAGCTCAGGGGGAACCGACAGAGAGGGGACATACCCCCAGGCACGGGGCCCCTGCCTCCAGCGGTGGCTGCCCCTTGCCCCAGCTCTAGGCACAGGGGACACAGGCCAGAGGGGCAGGCAGGCCCAGGCCGGCCTTGGGTTCTTGAGCTCGGCGGTACCCTAAGGACAGGGTAGCGCCCTCACCTTACCCTGGCCTTGCTGAATTCCCACGCTGTAGGACGCCCCAGCCCCTCCAGTCCCACCCCCAAAGGTCCCATCCTCCCTGACCTCCCTGGTCAGTTCTGTCGTTCGAGGTCATGCGTGCTAGGAAAGCCCTGAAGCCCCCCCCTCCATGTGGATTCCACCTCGTTCCCCTGAGGGGCAGCTCTGAGGCTCGGGGTGGGGGCAGGTCACAGCTTGGCAAGGGTGGAGCCTGGGGAAAGAGGGGTTCACTCAGAGGACAGGAAAGGGGCTTTGACCTGGCTTTGCCCCGCCCTGGATGAAGGGGTATAGGGCTGCCCTAAATAACTGGGAAGGAGCTCTGAGTTCCCAGCCCCCCCTGTTCCCCCAGGCCTCCTCTCCTTAACCGCCCCCCCACCACACTTGAACGAGGCGAGAGGGGCTTGAGGTTCAGGCGAGGCCAGCCTCCTCCCCACTCCCGGGGGTGATGCACACAGCCCCCCACCCCACCTGGGGGCCTAGTTCCTGGGCACCACACCCCTTCCCTGGGGTGGACAGACAGCTGCCTGGGCCACAGCTAAGTCAGTGTGTGGGGGGCAAGAACCCTGCCTGGGGCCATCCCTGGAAGGGGTCAAGGCCCCTCGGGCTTTGGGTGAGGCAAGGCCTGGGTCCCCCTTGGGAGCAGGTCCGGAGGCCCTAACCCCCCTTCTCCCCCCAACCAATGGAGACTGTTTTCTCTTCTGTCAATATATGTGTTGGAGCTAGACTGGTTCCTCAGCTCCGGGGCTGGGAGGAGGCAGCCGCTGGGCCAGTGAAACCCCAGAGCCCAGCAGGCCGGGGAGCACCCCCTGCCCTGTCCCCCACCCGCTCGTGGCCACTCCCATCCTGGGGATCTTTCTCCCCGAGACCCCTGAACACAGCTCCTCAGGGCCCTGGAAGAGGAACTCTGCCTGGTCACCAGGGGCCCAACAGGCCAACCCTCTTGTCATGGGGGTGGGGTCCCCACATCAGAGACGTGTCCCCCTCCAGCCACCCTGACCAGGTCGCCAGAGGGAAGCCGGGGGAGGTGTGGGGGATGGGGGGGACACTCATGGCTGACCTCTGGGGCCGAAATTTCTTCCTGTGCCTCCCTGGTCCTGCTCTCAGGGCCCGGGGAACCCAACTGCACAGTCTCTACCTGTCTGCAGCTGAGATCCTGGAGCCCCAGTGCTCTGCTCTCTCCCCTGGTTTCCCTACACACCTGCCTCAGGCCTGCAGGGTACCCTCCTGGGCCAGACCCTGAGTCCCACTAACTCTTCCCAAAGCCAGTGGGAGGGCAGGCACCACTGTCACCCCCCACATTGCAGATGAGCAGAGGTACAGAGAGAAAAGTATTTCACCCAAGGTCACACAGCCCTGAGATGGCAACGTGGAGCCCCAACGATCTGACAGCTTCACGTTCGTGCTCAGACCTGCTGGCCCCAAAACTTTCCTCAAGGTTCAGTGTCTGCTGAGAAGGCCGAACAGGAACACGGCCAACTGACCACAAAACATGATGCGGCACAAGGGAGGGGGGAGAGCAATTTATCAGGGAAAGCCAGACTGAAGGGGATTTGTAAGCTGGGCCTTGAGGGATGTGTAGGAGTTCATCAAGTAGAAAAGAGAGCAAAGGAAGGGTCCTCCACGTTGAAGAGCAGTATGGGCAAAGGCTTAGGGGAGAGGCAGGCTTGCAGCTGGAGGGGCTAGCGGGGG